GCGCACACACACACACACACACCCTCACCTGCATATAGCATCCACATGCTTCATTTTAAACCACTGTGGGCATCATCCACTTGATAAAAACTCACCTCAAATAACTTCAAGCCAAGGCATTCATGGAGTTGATAAAGCCGCTGCTAATTCTCAATGCCCAACCATCTCACTCTGCCTACTACCACCAGCTAAAAAGTAACTGATCCCAGTGTTATCACAAACTAACGAATATTTAGAAAATGTCACTGCCTTTTAACTTTCAACAGGAAAGTTCTGTCTATGTCTCCTTAGCCTTGCCTCCTAGAGCTTCAGAGCAGAAAATTCAAAACAGACAGGGGTAAGTGATTAAATAAGTACACATCCCAGAACACCTGTCTCTAGGACAGACCATATTAGTTCTTAAACTTAATTGGGCCATAGCTTCTCACACAAGAGTATTATAAGGACCGGACACACCTTCCAAGGTTATGAATGAAAACAGACCTGCAAGAGTAAGAGTCTGTGTTTACTGAACATGTGCTATGTGCTGGGCATTTCACACGTATGGACTCATCTGATCCTTCCAGCAACCCTATGAGGTGGATATATTACTATGCCCATCTTACAGAAAAGAATACTGAGGCACAAAGTGGATGAGTATCTTGCCCAAGGCCACGCAGCTGTCAAATGGAGGACCTGAATTGCAAACCCAGCAGGCTGGTTCCAAACCTCTTGCCACTATGCTTGGGAGCGGGCACCTAATAACCACATTTACGGACTGGGAACGTGAAAAGGGGAAGGGAAGATGCTTTTCACAGAAGGCAAAAGGTATTTGGGAATTTAAAAAAGGACAAACGATAAATGCCTTAACTCTGTGAAATGGTGCAATTACATGGTCAGAGTGTCACTGTGTACATGGCCATGTCTCCCTTATTTCCTTGATAAAAATGCGGATCTTTAAAGTATTTTTACTATAATTATATTATCGAAAATCATGTATAGAAAATTACTCTTTCTACTTTTAATTTTTATTTACATTTTTTAAAAAAATCTCACCCAAGGATATTTTCTCCACTGATATTCAGAGAGAGTGGAAGGGAGAGGAAGAAGCAGAGAAACATCGATGGAGAGAGACACAGCGATTGGCTTCCTGCTACCTTGGTCCAGACGGGCAGGGATGGAGCCTGCAACTGAGGTACCAGCCCTTGACCAGGGCTGACACTCTAACCACTGAGCAAACTGTCCAGGGCTTATTTAAAAACATTTAAAATACCTGTTACACTCCTGACACCGTTTATTATGATGACACAGACCCACAGCAAGGCAGGTCTAACTCCACCGTGGAAGACAGGCGGGCAGAGTGTGTTCCACAGGCTCTGCTTTCCCCAAGCCAGTTGACAGGAGTGTGGTGCTGCAATACTTGATATGACCACGAGGTGGCACCAATGTCCCTCGAATAGACACCCGATGGGGCCTCAAGGTTGCTCCCCCTTTTCTCTTAAGAAGGCACTTACAGACTGGACCTGCAACTGGAGGTCATTCTTTTCCTGCAGCAGGGACACCATTTTCTCCTCCAGCTCCTTCCGGCGAGCCTCAGACCTGGCCAGCTCCTCCTTGGCCCTCTGGAAGTCCTCCTTCATGGTGGCCATCTCCTTCTCCGCCTCCGCACTCTTGAGGAGGGGCTTGATCTTGAAGAACAGGTTCATCCAGGGCCAGTGCTTGACGTTCATAAAAGAGCGGATGTTGTACTGGATGCAGAAGATGGAGTCCCTGTACATCCGTTAGGACGGGGGTTAATGGACCACAGCGAGGTCTTGTCTCCACCCACCTACCCTGTGGGCCCCAGGGCCTGCACCGCTCCCCGCTGGGTGGGAAGGAAGTACAGCCAAGCTGAGCAGAGCCTACGGACTCCAGAGTAGATTCTTAAAAGCGGGGAGGGCAGGGTAAGGAGGGGGTGAGGGTCTGGTCACCTCCTCTCCACCATCTTCTTGAACTCCACCCGCATCAGGTACCCTCGGCACAGGGCCTGCGTGCGCGTCATCAGGATCACCAGCTTCTCATCCCTCATCTCCTCCAGAAGTCCCAGGAGCCCAGCTTTGAAAAACACCTGTGTTAAAGGAGAGACAGCCCTGCTCTGTTCTCAGGAGGGGAGCAACCTCTGCCTCAGGAGAACCTCTTCCTGTCCAACCCTGGCCCTCGACATCTAGGCCTGAGTGGGGACCTCATGCTGGCTGGCTCCCCGGTCTCAAGTCTCAGGGGCCCCGGTCTCCTCAGCAGCCCCTCCTGTGTCTTGTCCCAAAGCACATCCCAGGCCCCACCAACCCGCATGGACAGATCCCGACAAAGCTCACACACAGTAAGCAAAGAGGAGTCCAGAAAGTGACCTCCGCTCTCAGCTGTGTCCAGACCGAGAGAGATCCAGACTTGTACCTCCTCGCCTCCCTCTCTCTCTGCCCATCCAAGAAGGCTGGCCCCACCTCGGGCCCATTCACCCCTGGCCCACGTGGGCAGAGCTCCTTTGGCCTCCATGATGTTCCAAGAAACAGGGCACCCTGGGGGCAGCAGGCTCCTCCCTGGCGGGGTGGATGCTCTAGTCCCACCTGTCCCTCTGGGACGTGGAGCGCTGGGCTTGGGCCAGCGTTGAAGCCGGCCTTTGCCACACACCATCCAGGTGACCATGAGCAAGTTTCTTGCCTCTGGGAACCTACGTTTTCTCTCCCTCCCATTAACCCCCTGAGGTCAGGACCACCTCCATCACCACTAGGTTCTTGGGAGGTTCAATGAAGCGTGTGCAGAGGATGTGTCGCGGGCTCCCTCAGTGCACATGAGCTCAATAAATGGCGGCCATTTCTGTGGGTGATAGCTCTTCTTCTCAAGTCCTCATAGCCCCTGTAATTCTTTCCATGTTCTCCTCTCCCTTGGGCTCCTTCATCTCCATTGGAGTGTCTATTCTGCTCCATTCAGGATCCGAGCTCCCATCGCTTTCTTCAGCGGCTGTTGGGGCTCCCACTTCCAAATTACCCTCTAGACCAGTGGTTCTCAACCTGTGGGTCGCGACCCCTTTGGTGGTCGAACAACCCTTTCACAGGGGTCGCCTAAGACCATCCTGCATATCAGATATTTACATTACGATTCATAACAGTAGCAACATTGCAGTTATGAAGTAGCAACGAAAATAATTTTATGGTTGGGTCACAACATGAGGAACTGTATTTAAAGGGCCAGAAGGTTGAGAACCACTGCCCTAGACTCTGAACAACCAGCACCTCTGTGCCCAGCCCTCGGCCTCCCTCTTCCTGGGCCACTGGGCAGGAGGCGGTCGGGCTCAGCAGATGGGGAAAAAGACCCCTTTCTTCTGCTCAGCCAGCAAGCAGCCAGGGCTGTGGTTACAGTTACACAGCGGGGACGGGGGGGGGGGGGGAGGCCACACCTGAGCCAAAAATCAGCTCCCCCTGCTCTCACCTTGGTGTGGCCAAACCGGTACTGCCCCCGGTCCACGTCGATGGAGGTCAGAAGCTTCTCGGAGGCATTTTTACTGTCAATGAACTGCCCTTCCGGTATGGCGCTGGCGTTGAGGAGCCGGTAGCTGGGGAGGGAGGACGCAGGCTGTCCTGGGCTGCTGGCTGTGGCAGCTGGGGTGGACAGCCTCAGGAGTGGGGGAGTGGGGGCCTCTGGCCACACAGCTCTCCTGAGGGCTGCGCCCTGCTCCTCGCTGCTCAGGCCCAGGGGCCGCAGAGCCCTCTGAGGTCCAGGCCAGCGAGGTAGTGGCCCCCAAGCCCCGCTGCCCCCCTCCATGGGTAAGACTGGAAAAGGAGTGGTGTCGACTGTCCCTGGGCAGAGGACCTCTCCCTCTCCCCCAAGAAAAAGACAGAGCCATGGACACCCTGGAGTGGGGGGCTTGTGGGCCCACCCCACACCCAGCCCAAGAAGCACCCTGGGGGGATGCAAAGGCGCCCGAGACCGAGAGTGCAACGGCGAGACCACCTACCGCTGCTTGAAGTCGGCATAGAGGAGCCGGCTGGGGAAGCCCTTCCGGCAGATGCGGATGCCCTCGAGGACCCCGTTGCAGCGCAGCTGGTGCAGGACCAGGTGGTGGTCCATCACGCCTGCGGAGAGAGGTGTGGGGCCATCGGTGGCCTCGTCATTTCCTCTGGCGCTTTGGACCACGAGCCACTCCGACACCCAGACTTGAGAGGGGAGGGTTGGTGCTCCAGGGTGGGAATGGCTGGAGCTTGCCTACGGTCTCAGTAGAAACAAACCCGATTTATTGGGTAGACTTCACATCCCATCACCATGGGAGCAAGAGTCAATATCAAGTATTGATGTTTACCCTGTTCATGGCCCTGGACCCTGTAGCTAGGCCCCAAGGGAGGCAGATGGGTGGGGCGGACCCTCTGGGCCTCCCAGTGAAACCTGAGGTGCCCTGCGGTCTCTACTCAAGGACAGAGATGTAAATGTGCAGGCTGTGCATTCAATGGGGGAAGAAACCCAGAGAGAACAGGCGGGCTGTGGCAGGGGTGGAGGGAGCAGCATGCAGGGTGGTCCTCTGTTAAACATTGGGCGCCTGAAAGGGAGGGGCGAGAAGAGGAGCCAGAGGGACCAGATCCTGTGGGGAGGCAACGTGGTCACTCTTGGCACCAGCCTGGGTCAGGCACGAACCAAACGGGGACCCAGAAAATTCTGCCTTGAGACTCTGAGAAGGGTTAGAGGAGAGGTACATGGCTACATAATGGCTTTTAACTGTGAGCTCCCTAAGTTTCTAGGGAAGGGTTAAAGCTGGTTTTGGCCTAACCTTATGGAAACTTCTAGAATGCTCAAAAGTCCCCCTGAATGCTGTGAGGAGAGATGATTACACATTTATACAAGTTTCAAGATTCTTCTAGAGCTGTACCACTGTCTGACCCAGTAGTCTTTGGCCACATGTGGTTATTTAATTTAAACTCAAAGTGAATTAAAATGAAAGAACCACTGTCTTAGTTGCACCAGCCCCATGACGTATAAACCATCCTGGGCAGCTCAGATAGACAACTTCTCCATCATTCCCGGAAGTCCTAGTGGAGAGCGATTCTCGGGGAAGAAGTGGTTAAGAGCAAGGAGGAACTGTGTCAGAAACTCAGAGAATCTCCAATGAGAGAGAACCATGGAAATCGTCCAGTCCAACCCCATCATTTCTCCACTGAGGATTCTAACCTGGGAACTTGTGTACTAGCCGTGTAACTTGCACTTTTTATGCCACAGCTTCCTCATCTGCAACATAAATATAGTGACGGTATCCACTTCACAAGACCGTTGTGAGGACAAAGTGAGTTCCCATGAATGAAGAGCTTAAACCAGCCCTGGCCACACCGAAAGGGGCGCATGAGCTCCAGGCGGGTTCATGATGAGGCGGCTCCGCTCCACCAGAGCCAGGAGCAGAGAGAA